CAAGATAAGATCATAGAAAGCTATGAGAAAATATAGGAGAAAATCGATGTGCCCCTGAATTTGATGGTGATTTTTTAGATATAACATTAAATGTGTGATCCCTAAAAATAAAGTGGATAAGTTGGACTTTATTGAGATTAAAATCTTCTTTGTGAGATATATTACTGAGAATGTAATAATAATAATCCATAGGCTGAGAGAAAATATTTGCAAAACACACATCCAAACTGTACAAAGAATTCCACAATAGGGAAATGACCCAACTAAGAAATGAGCAAGATTTCTGAACATCTTATCAAGACACTTATCAAGAAGATGTATGGATGGCAAATACACATATCAAAAGATGCTTAGCATTATTTGCCATTTAGGGAAGCGCAAACTAAAACAGCAGTGAGATACCACTGCATGGCTATGGCTAAAATCCAAAAATCTGATACTCCCACTTGTTTATGAGGACACAGACCAAAACTAATGATATTGTGAAATAATACTGTAACTCTCAGGAAAGTCAGTTTTCTTAAGAAAGAGTAAACTCTGGTACCGTACACAGTTTATGCGTAGTAGGTTATTTCTAAGATATAATCAGTAGAATTGGGAGAAAGAAAGAAAAAAACAAACCATCTCTTTTATCTCCTAGTATATACTATCTTTTTCCCCTGCCATGAGCTGCCATTGAATTAATTTATACAACATGGAAAATTCTTTTGCCTGCCTCTTGACTGCAGACAACACTTTATCCTGTGCTACAGGTGTTTTGCAATTGAGCATTCTCCAAGTGAGGCTTAATGTTTTTGAACAAAAATGGTATTTCACATAACTTTGAGAGCATCAAATACATTATCCCTATATCATTTACCCATTCTTTCCTCTATTCAGCCACACAACCCCATAAACATGGAAGCAAAACATGCAGCAAGATATTTCATTGTTTTACAAATACTTATTTTAGCTTAACCCAATGACTTTATGAGTATAAAAGTTAAAAGTAAAGTCTTCATAATTAAGCATTAATTTAATGTGAAAATAGACTAAATTATATTAACCAATGTTAGAATAAGAAATTTTGTATCACAATGAAAACTCCTGAAGTAGAACTATAATATTCCTGAAGTCTTAAACTTTTCACATTGATAAAAATTAAATAGTTACAAACTATAAGTAGATATTAAAATGCTACCTTTTGAGAAATGATTTTTTAATCCTTTAAACTAGAAAATATTCTGTTTTTTCTTTCATTTTTTTTCTTGTTTTGCTGTGTGGGGGTACATTGTGACATTTGTATCACACTTGAATTCACCCCCTTCACCACTCCCCTTTATCCCTGGATTCATGGAATAGTTACAACAGGTATCATTATTGCATTTACATGCATGTATACATATTTGTTGCATTGTATTCAACTTCCTACCCCCTTTCCCCGCACCTTCCCCCTCCCACTGGTGCCATCCCTCCCTCCTGGGTAGGATCTGTTCTGCCTCCTTTTTGCAGAAGACAAAAGACAAAATATAAAAAGAAAAACATGACATTTTTGTTTGTTTGAAATAATGATAGCTATACAGAGAGTTTCCGTATTATATTTCCATGTATATATGTGTTATTCCCCCAATTAGTTTATTTCCTCTAATTATCTACATTCTACTTTAGTCCCTTTCCTATGGTAGTTTCAGCCAGTTTAAGATTTCTGTATGCATTCTTACATAGAGAATTTATCACCCATACTCAAGTTTTTATAAACTAGGAAAGATTCTGAAACACCTTTATTACTTTAAATATTAGCTCTTACTACTTAATCTTGATAAAACAGAGTATTTGATTCTTTGGATGATTCCTTATTGTAATTAACATACAATAGAATCATATCAATTTGTAATCTTATGTAGAAAAACACCTTAAAATTTAGTGACTGAAGGCAACAACCTCTTGTTATTTCTCATGAGTCAGTAGACTGGCTGAATAGTTGTGTTAATTTAGATTAAACTTTTCTGTAGGGGACTTAACTCATCTTATCTGGGTTCACTCATAAACCTGTGATCTTCTGATGGTTAAACCGGGGACTGGCCTGAGCTTGTGGGACCACTTAACTTGCTCTGTGTGGTCTCTCCTTTATGGGAATGATAACAGTTAAGAGTGAGTGCAGGAGAAAAAGAAAGCTTTCAAGTTCACATTAGGCCTAGTCTTGGAAAGGTATATTGTTGTTTCTGCCATGTTCTCTTGGTTAAAGCCAATTAAGGTCAACCTATATTCAAAGTGTGGGGAAATAAACTCTGTATCTTTTTGTTTGTTTGTTTTGATGGTACTGGGGATCTAACCTAGTGCTTCATGCATGCTAACCAAATGATGGACCACTGGCTCCAGCTCCAGTTCGTAAACTCTGTAGCTTGGTGGACAGAATTGCAAAGACAGAGTGATTGGATGAAGAAAGTGGTTATAGGAAATAGTAGAGAATTAGGGCTATTTTTGAAGTGATTGTAAGCAGAACTTTGCAAAATGATTGTAAGCAGAACTTCGCAAAATGAAATAGCTTTTCTGTTTAATTCAGATAGATTCTTTTCTGTTTATGTGAAACCCAACCTTATTGCTCTAGGTATTCATCTTTTTTTTGCCTTTATTGTAATAATATCAATTATGGTGATTTTAAGTATTTACTTTTGTTCTAAAAGGATGTGAATTTTATAGAGAAAAACCTAAAATTTTTGAAGTTTAATTATATTGAAAATTCAAAGTTAAACCCTAAAAATTCCAGGTTTGTTTGGTGACAATGTCTTCATTTTTAGAGAATGATCTGGGTTTGGTCACCTTTAACTATTAACAATCTCAGTTTTGCATTTGTAGTCATGCACTTAGAGTTTACATAGATTGTAAAACATTATAATCTCTTTATTATATAATTTTGTAGAACTGTATAGCCTTTAAATTTTGGGGTGTGTATGTGACAAATATGTGCAGATACTGATGTGTACATGTAGTTGGCAGAATTAAGTATCTTTATTTGTAATGCTTATTTAAAAATATACCAGTTTTGTTCAGTTAGAATAGAACTCATTGGGTTTACAAACTGAGTGTAGCCATATAACCAGCATCCAGATTGAGAAACAAAACATTACCAGCATCCGCCAAAGTCCCTCTGTGTTCTTTTTCTGTCAATGCTTCTTTCAAGAGTAACCAGTATTTTTGTTTCTAACCTATGCAGTTGTTTTCCTGTTTCTGTTCTCTATGTAACTATATAATACGTACTTTCTTGAGCATTACTTTCAGAATAGGATGCTTCTAATTAAATTTTTCCATATCTTTATAGGTGAGAAACAGTAATCACATTTAAATGCAAGCATTTAATTTGGTCATAGATCTTTTAAAAATCCTTACCAAAATGTAAACATTGGGTACTAGAATGATAAGATCAATAATAAGTTACCAACAATATATTTTAATTCATTACAAAACATAAAGAATCATGATCTTTTTAGTTTCCTTGGGGAAAAGGACATTAGTGTTTATAATTATTAAAGTTACAATTCAATTAAAAATTACTCTGCATGAAAAAAGTGATCATCTGTTGCATTTCCATGCACTGTATCTCTGGAGAGATTGTCAAGCCTTTGTTTAAAAAACTCTAGAAAAGGTTATTTAGCAATCTCCTTTATAATGCATTTCAGTAAAAGGATTTTCTTGAGGTTTTTCAAGTTGATTATATAAGCCTTATTTTAAAAAGAAAACTGTCTTTGTGCATGGGATAAACAAAGGCTATAGGGTTAACGAAATTCTGTTTCTTTGGCACTTAAAATGAGATTGTGTTATTTCATTACACTTTAAACCAAATATTTGTGATTTCTTCTTTGAGCTTAAGAGCAAATAGAAACCTTTTTCTTTTTTTGTATTGAGTTTTCTCCCTAAATCCCAAAATAATCCTGTGTCAAATTTTAATGAGCTAAAGATTTCAAAATTTTACTATCTTTTGAAATCTTTTTATTTTGACCTCTAATCCTACCTACTTTCATAGATACTGTGGGTTCTGGTTTTGATTCTGTTTTCTCATTTCTTCGTTGGCTTATTTTTATTTCCATTAATACTAGGCATTATCCAGAGATCCATTTTAAATTCCTGCTCCTTTTCCTCTTAGTTATTCTTGATAAATATCAGGTATATATTTATCTGCATGAATTTTTATTAAAAATACTGAAGTAACATCTTTCCTGTTTCTGACATGTATTTGTACATTTCAGAATGGAATGTGCCTCCATCTTTTAAATATCTCATAAAGCATTTCTGTTTACCAATCTTCCCTGCTCATTTTTTTTTGTTTTGTTTTTGGGTAGCATCCTTGATGTTCATAAATTTAAGTATCTTTTGTACAGATCATTTTTGTCTCAATATTTTAATTCTTGTTGTTAATGATATATCACTAGAAGATTATTGTTATTTTCTGTAATAGTTCTTTATTAATGTGTAATATATATAATTATTTCTTTGAATATATAAGCATTGATAACTTATTTCTGAGATATAATCAGTAGACTTGAGAGTAAAAAAGAAAAAAAATTGTGACCTCTTTTTCCTCCTACTATATACTTACTATCTTTGTTTTTTTTTTTTTCTTCCTTAAAAGTTGCCATCTTGTAAATTTCTTCCTAGGTGCCTCACAGAAAATTATGACAAACAACCTCCCCTTTCTTTCCTTAAAATGCTAATTAAATTTTTTTTCTTTTTTGATACAAAAGTCTTTGTTTCTGTTTTTGATATCAATTTTAAATGTGAATGATACATTAGGAGTATATAATCATGTTATTTAAAGTCTTTCATTATATCAACACCACACTTTTGTCTAATTTTTTTCTCTGAGTAATCATTTTACTTGAACAGGTCTTCTATAGTTTTATTACTGTATACCTTTATTGGTATTGAAGTTAATTATTTGAAGTGATTGTTTCTGTTTTCCATTTTAATCAAAGAGGGATATTTTCCTTTAGGAATTAAGAGTTGTAACATTTTCCCCTCAGATTCTCCTGAGAATGATAGTCCCATGGAGATTACTACAGCAGAGCCACAAGTTTCTGAGGCAGTATATGATTGTGTTATTTGTGGACAGAGTGGGCCCTCCTCTGAAGACCGACCTACGGGATTGGTTGTACTATTACAAGCATCCTCAGGTAAGCTCAAACTAATTACTCAATAGGAACATTTCAGAGGCAAGATATGTATATATATATATATAAAACAGATGAATAAATATCTGTATTAAGTGAAAGTAATATCTTTGTCTAGTTATAACTATAGATATTTAGAACAAAGATTAATTTAGATCCAAATAGCAAAGACTCTTTATCTTATTTTTTATCACTTTCCTAGACATGAATATTGGAAGAAGGCCTTAACAAAGAGATCTTGTTATGTTACACAGTTTTCTTTTAAAGTGTGATAGTATATCACCAGTGCTAGCTGGCCAGCTCTGAAACTCTGTAACTTGGTGGAAGGAGTTGCAAAGTTACAGTGACTGGCTAGAGAGAATGATTATAGAAAGTAGTAGAGATTAGGGCCATTTATCATCTCACCTACTTGTCATTTCTTTGTGGTGAGAACCAGAAATATTTTTTATAGCAGATTTTTTTTATTGGTTCTGGATCCAATAAAAGATCATATAGTGCTTTTAGTTGTCATTTCTCGTTGGTCTTTTAAAATTTAGAATAGTCTCTCAGTTCTTTTTGAAAGTTTCAAAGAGTCAGGTTGGCTATTCCATAGAATGTCTGAGCATCTGGGTTTGTGTGACTATTTTCCTAGTATTAGATTCAAGTTAAACATTCGACAAGGGTATTACAAGGTAGTATTCCTTTCCAGGCATCATATTAGGTAGGAGTCTCATATAGAGTGGATTTGTCTCATTCTTGGTGATGCCCATAAGATGATGCATTGAAATGCTACCCATTTATCCTTTTATTCTTTTTCTTGAAAAGAATCAATGAATGTGTTATCTCTTACCATTATTCTTTCTGATACTCAGTTTTCTCAAATTTGTTTTATCAGAACTCTCTTGGGTCATTATGAAAGTATCCCTGTGGTGTTGAACATTTCCTTGCTCTTTTTCACACATAATCTAGGCTTATTGTGTGCTTTTCTCATCCCTGAACTCATCTCTTTCTCTAAGGATCTCTGCCTATTTTTTGTGAGAAATTTAAATATGAAATGTGTTGATATAGGAGAGTTGTAGCTTCTAGGCTTTTTTAATGGACAGATTTAAGAAACCATTTGTTCATCATGAGTTCAAACTCATACTTTAGTATTATTTTAAAAAGTAATTATTGACATAGTTGGAGCTTTATTTACTCTGTAGAACTAAAATGTCACTCTTTTTAAGATCTTTAAAATATTTTATTAGTGGAAATTTTGATAAATCAGATCTATATGTTAGTTACTTAGTGAGCTTTTATCTCTGTTGCTAATTTAGTTTTGGGTCAGTGCCGGGACAATGTTGAGCCAAAAAAGTTGCCAATTTCTGAAGAAGAGCAGATTTACCCTTGGGACACATGTGCAGCAGTTCATGATGAGAGGCTTTCATTATTACAGCATTATTTTAAGGATGTAAGTACTTTTTTTCTCAAATAGTATTTTTGACTGCAAAGTTGATAGTGACTTCCCTCCAGAGTTTTATTTTATATTATTTTCTTTTATCAAAATGTCATTCTGATTTCAAATCTAGTAGTTAACTAAAAAAAATTAATATGTTGATAGTAACAAAATGGAAATCTGTTAATAAGTAAAAATTTCAAGTAATGTGATGTGTGTTTTAGGTATTTATTGTGAAGTATGCACAATTCAATTCAGTGAAATAATAAGCATTAACTATAAAGACTTTTAGATAGGATATGAGCATTTTGTGAAGATTTCTGTCTCCTTTTACTTTCATGTAAAGACACACAATAGAACCTCATTATGATCCTTTTAAAATGTAAAGGAGGATTTCTTTCATGTCTTTTCTGACTACTTATGAATTGATAGGTTTTTATATAATTCATTGTATCTGGAAGCTCTAGTACTCAGAAGTGTCTCTAAACTTTGAAGATAAACTTTATTTAATAGCATCAATGTTGTTAACTTGTTTTTTAAATTGCTGTTTACAGCTGGGAATATAGCTTAGTGATAGAGCAGTAGAGCTCTTGCTTAGCATGTTTGAAGCATGTGTTCAATCTCTAGCACTGGGGAAGGAAGGAGGGAGAAAGGATCCGTGGAAGAGAGAGAGGGTGAGGGAGAGGAGAGGAGAGGAAATGAGAGGAGAAAGACGAGAGAGAATGAGTTTTGATGTTTCCTGAGTGGTTATCAAATGTGATTTCCTTTATTCTGTTGTAGTTTTTTGAATCTACTAAATCTTGAATAAAATAAACATATAACAATTTAAAGTATAAAATCATTTTTAGTTAGCTATATGAGATGATTGTCTTGATTGATTTCCAAATAGAACTTCTTTCTTGCCTATAAATTTTGCTAGTTTAAATGGAAGAAGTTAGTAGGATAGGAAGAAGACAGAATATTTAATTAGAATAAACAATAACTAAGCTAGTGATGATAAGAACCAGAGTAGAGTCTGGTTCCTTAGTAGGCTGAACTGCGAAGGTTTTTGGTGACTCCTAGAGGAGCTTAGTGGTTCTAGTTAGGGAGACATTGCGTAGAGTTGATTCTGATTCTGCCATTTCTGAGCTTATGTGAGCTTGGTCAAATCCCTTAAACACTGTAAGACTTGATTTCCTCATCTGTGAAGGGTTTAGAATGGTCTTTCCTGCAGTAATGCACTAGGTTAAGGAGTTTCTTTAGATCACTTTGCATGTAATACAAGTCAGTAGAAAAGTAAAGCAGTGTTTTGAATGTTTAAGGTGGCTTATATAGAAGAGCTCAGGTTAGGCCTTAAGAGGCAGTTTGGGGTAGTTAATAAGGATAATGCTTTGATATATTTCCTGAGACTTTAAAATGAAATTACGGTTATTTTGTAAAGCCTCTGGGTACATGTATGCACATGTACAAACAAACACTTTCACGCTTTTTTTTTTGGCAGTACCAGTGTTTGAACTTGAGCTTGGTAGGCAGGCACTCTTCTACTTGAGTCATGCCTCTAGCCCTTTTTGCTTTAGGTTATTTTTCATATAGGGTCTTGCTTTATGTCCAGGCTGGTGTGGAACCATGATCCTCCTACCTGTGCTTCCCACATAGTTGAGATCACAGGCATACACTACTACTCTTGGCTTCACTTTCACACTTTTAATATTCCTTATTGCTAGTTGAATTTTTTACAGGGTACATATATTACTTTATTAATCAGAAGCCAATAAATACCATCTTTTCAAAAAAACCTGAAATTGTTAAGTTCTTATTTGTATAATTTTGCTGCCATTTTATTTAGATTTCATTTATCATAATCCTGCTTTTAATTTTATCATTTTGAATTGCTTTAAATTAAATGGATCTCAAAGCTATTTAGGATTTTGATTCAATCAAAATATAACCAAGACCTAAGAATATAATAATTGAAGGGAAGGGGAGATCTAATAAAGAGAGATAAGGTTGTCTGTATCTTTTTTATAAGCCAGAAGAGTTACTCATTTCTAGAAAAAGTTTTTTTTTTTAATAAAAAGACTGTGAACTGAAATCTGAACTGGACTAGACTTTTGTTTTTGTTAGTGATTATGAGATTCTTATTCCTTCCTTATGACTTCTATGTACGTTCATAATATTTATTTTACTTATATATGGCATGCTTTCTGGATTATTTGCCTTTGAGGGTCTAGGGCCTTGTATTGGTTTTATAGTCAGTCCCCTCATGAGCTAAACATGTTGTCTGTGTTGTAGATGCTTCCTGGATTTCTTATGGGATTACTTCTAATGTGGTGTACATGAGTTTGTAGCCAGAACAGATTGTATAGAGAACTATTAATGCATACTGATTATAGAATCAAACTGTAGATTCTTCCCTTTTCACATCAAATGCATGCATTTTACAGAGTTAATATATAGAAATTTAGTTATGTAAGTCAGTACATTCACTGGCAAAACTGGAAATACTATGTTCAAGAGATGTGATGTAACACAGGCAAGGAATTTGAGCTGTGCAATCATGAAGTTAGGGGTTGGACTTGGGCTCTGTCACTTACACATAGTGATCTTCATTAGGTTTTCATTCCTATCTTATAAACAGGGCTAACATCCCCCTACTGGGTGAGTTTTAAATATTAACTTCATGAAGATTCAGTGCTAAGTACTTGGCACAAGTCTCCAAAATATTAATCTCATATTAGTACTTTTCTGTACTTTTGACTAGCAAGAGTAAATGAGACATCTAACAGACAAATGACTACTATTTTCAGGTTTTTTTTTTTTTTAAGGGGGAAGGGGACTGCAGGTGTGGTCTTTGCCAGGAGAAGTAAAGAAGTGGCACAGTTAAAAAAAAAAAAAACCGGGGCGGGGGGATGAATTTTGTTTTAAGGTGTTTTTTATACCATCTGTAACTTAGGGTGGGAAAATCCTGGGCCATTACTGGTCACCAGTGACCTGTGAGACTTGGGAGGAGGAAATCTGGGCAGACTTGTACATATACTTAGGCTAATTTTCAGGTACCCTAAGGGTACATGGTTCCCTCCCCACCCTTTTTTTATTTTATAATTTTTACATTTACTCACATGTGTATACATTATTTGGGCTATCAACCCCTCCCCCATCTTCAGTTTTAAAAACTACTGTTATTAAAAATAAAGATTACATTTTTATAGTACAGTGCTAAAGAGAGCAGCCTATTTAGTAACTGACTACAAATTGTTCTCAAATGATCTAATACCAAAATCTCCTATTTCAAATAACCCTAAAACATAAAACAGAGTCGAGCAGGCCTCCTGTTGTTTTTCTGATTTGTAGCAGTAGAAGCTTGCTCACTTGCTGTGAGTATTTGATTTATGCTGTTGTACCTTTTTAAATCAGCTGGAAAGGCATTTTGCACTGTGTAGTATTTTCAACTTTCAGGTACTTATGAAGAGTATTGATTTAATATTGGAATGTTTTTCACTATCATTTAAAGATCATTTGGTCATCTTACATGTAAAGTTTTTCCAGTATGAAAATAAAATTTAAAGGTTTACTCGGTTTTTTAAACATGTAGAAACATTCTTATTTGATAGTTTTCAAATCTTTCACCATGTAACTGTCACTCATGTTAGTCCTTGTGCCCCATTGCTGACCTGCCAATTTATTTAGAAACTAGAGGGTGGATTCAGGTTCAGGCCCAAATGCTGTTTGACAAAGGCCAAATGATGAAAATTCCAAGAAAGAGATTTTGAAAAATCTTATGCATGTTTATTGGTTGAGAGGGGTTTGGAAACTAATGTTATGATGTGAAGATAAAGGTTGTGAAGACTGACTTTTAATTCTCTGACTTGGTGACTATATTGATGTGGAGTTTTTAACTGGGAAGGAAGTGAAAGATTCATGGAGAGGATGACAAATTTTTGATGTAGAGATTTTATGTTACTGAAGGACACTGAACTGGAGATTTCTGGTTAGCAACTGAGTACAGCAAGCCTACCTTACTTGTGGATTTATTACATATAATTTTGACCAACCATGGTCAATAAATCAGTCATTCAATTAATACAAAAGAAATTTCAAAACTAAAAATTTTAAAGACTCATGCACACATTATATAGCTCAGTCCATGCAGAAGCTCTCAGTCAGTCCCACATCACTGTCATTTGTGTTAAATCATTGTATGATCTGCTGAGTGTTTCCCTGCTATAAATTTTGTGAAAATGTGCCTTCCAAAAAGCAAATAGTTCCCAAATAAGCAAAGGAAAAATTAATGTGCTTAATCTAAGTGATAAAGTAGAAATTTTTAGATTTGTTGAAAGACAGCATGGTTTTAGTAGAAGTTGGGCCACATTTTGGGAAAAATGAATCAAGCATCTGGAGTACAGTATTGATTTTTGTGCATCTTGGGCATTTGTAGATTTTCCTCAGTGACAGTCTTCTTGGAAGCATATGCCCACAGATACCAAGAGTCTGTATATGTTTCTAACACTCAGGCAAAAGATCCAGGCTTGCAGGGTAAATGAAATTACTAGTCAAGTCTATAGGGAGAATAGTTTTAATGAGAACAGAATAACACTGAGAATAGAACCTTGGGGTCAGATGAAGAAAGAATAGTCTTTAAAAAGGGCCTTAGAAAACACAGAAGGAAAGAACACCAAGGGAGAGTGGCATTATGGAAGCCAGAAGGAAGTAAGCATTCAAAGAAGGAAGTTGTTAGTGTTAGAGATCACAGAGATTAACCACCAATCAGAGCATATGAAATAATCAACATCAGTATAATTTATAGCAAACTCTAATATTGGGAGCTTATATTTTATGGGGTGGAGAATGGCTAGTCCATATTTATTCTTTTTCATTATGAACATAGGTATTTGGAAGCTATAATTTCATGGTATTCTGATTTTAAAGGTACTGCCTTAGGGCTGTCTAGTCAGTGTTAATTTGTATAACAAAACTACAAACTCCACATTAGTATAACAATATGAAATCATGTAGAGGTCTGTGTGGATATATTTAAATATGTTCATACTCACTTAAAGTTAATCATCTTAACTGGGCATGGTGGTACATTTCTGTAATCCCCGCTGGGGGCAGTTGCAGGAGAATTATGAGTTCAGGGCCAGATTAGGCTACATAGTGAGTTTCAGGCCAGTCTGAACTGCATAGTGAGACCCTGTGTCAATAAATAAATAGCTGGGTGCTGGCAGCTCACTACTGTAATCCTAGCTACTCAGGAGGCAGAGATCAGGAATATCACTGTTTGAGGCCAGCCCAGGCAAAATGAAAGTGAAGACCCTGTCTTGAAAATATCCTTCACAAAAAAGGGCTAGTGGAGTGGCTCAGGTGGTAGAACACCTGCCTACCAAGTGTGAGGCCCTGCGTTCTAACTCTAGTATCACAATAAATAAATAAATAAAGCTTAATTGTCTTTTTTTAAAGAGTTCTTGTCTTTTGGCGGTGTCAATTGGCTGGGAAGGAGGTGTTTATGTACAAACCTGTGGCCACACGTTGCATATAGATTGTCACAAATCATATATGGAATCGTTACGGGTAAGTTGATTGGAAAAAATTTAAAGGTGTTTGTATCTTTTAAGGTGTTAAATCTTTTTACAGCATGTACATCACAATTCTGCCACTTCAATTTAAGGGATTTTCATTTTTAGGCTTCACTTTACCAACTGATCTCCACAGCTACAATTTAGACTTTGCTTCTCTAGCTCTGAAATAGTAAGCTCTCATACCCTATCATATCATTTTATTAGATGGAGATTCCTCAGCTTCTCCTGTTTTCACTTTCATTACCATTTCTAACTCCTTGGCTTTTTTCCTAGTTTTTTTAGCTCTTTCCTAATTTCACTTTCTTATATTTTGCCTATTCTGCCTTTACTCCCATTTAGTCTGCCTCCTTTGATTTAGACGCAGACAGCTGGTCCTGCTAGAACAACCATAAAACCAAGTAAACTGATAACACAAATTTGTGATTTTCTAACAGTGGCTTAGATTAGGGCCATGGGCTATACATACACTTATTAATTCATGTACCTGCTTTGATTATTTCCCTCTCCTGCTATTACAGACCTTTGCCTCTTCTATCCCTGACTCTTCTCTTAAACCCCAAGATCCCTTTTATTTCTATCTCTTCTTATGCCACCATAAGAAAATAGTGTCCCTTTTGTCCCTTTATCACACACTTACCTTGCTTTTTTTCATTCCCTAATAAATGACTGCATGCCAACCCCTTCTTTTTCTCTGTTCTTGGAGGTACTATTTCTTCTTCTTTTCAGGAACAACTTCTGTTTGTTCTGTAGGATGTCTTCCTCCACAACATTTCAGAGACCTTGATTGATCAGTATGTAACCTTGTTTTCTACTATATCATGTTTTGCTGCCTCTTCTGTCCCTTCTCAGTTCATAAAGTTATTCAGTTCTATCCCATTCAAAATCCTTCCCTTGACCTTGTATTTCCAGGCTGAAGTCTTTTTCTCTTTCAGTTCAACTTCTTAAAAACGTATCTACTGTAAAAGCAGGTCTCCTATAATCATGGGTTCCTAACTCAGAATTATTTCTTTCTTCCTTCCTATTCCTTACCTGTCATTTTTAGGCATTAACCAAAATTGTATTTATTCTGTCTCCTGAGTCTCACTTACTAGATTCTGCCTTCCTTCTTCCCATTGCTACCTTTGTGTATATGCCCTCACTTTTCATCTTGACTATTGCATTTGCTTTCAAATTGATTTCCTTACACTGACTAATTTATTCACTACATTGATCTTCCTAAAATGTAAATCTGTCACTACATTGATCTTCCTAAAATGTAAATCTGATGATGAATGTAGTTGGCTTAAAAACACTTTGCTGGCTTCCTCCTTACAGGATAAGGTTCACTCTGCTATGAGTGGCATTCAGGCACTCCATGATCTGGGCTGGCCTGTTTCTTTAAACACAACTTTTTCAGCTGATAGCACCTTAAGCACACTATACATTTTCATGCTCTTGTATTTAACCATTCATTAAACAAACATTTGTTCATGGCTACAGTATTCTAGAAACTACGATTGTCATTGAGGATAAAATAGTGAATAAGAGGACCTTTCCTCAAAGAGATTACTATGTATTTATTGAAAAATGAATAGTGCTAAATGTTATAAGGTATACACAAGGTCTTATTGGAACATTTGGTTAAGTAACGTACTTGATTGATGAGAGACAGCGTGGAGATTAATAAGGGGCCAGATTATATAAAGGACTTTGTGGTCCATGTAAAGAATTTGGACTTTATGTAGATTCCTTTAGAAAGCCATTAAAGGCTCTTAAAAAGTGATATTGTCCAAGAAGGTCATTGTGACAATGGTTTAGAAAGGGGATCACAGAGAGTAATAAAGAAGGTGGTGGTCACATTTAAGTAAGAGAATGGTGACTTGGATTTGGTTTTGGCAGTGGAGATGGAGAGAATGTTGTAGGTTTGAAATCTACTTAGAAAGGTGGTATTCTAGACTTGTGATAAATTGTGTATGGAGCATGAAGAGAAGGAAGAAATAAAGATGAGAGATGATGGTGGTCATTGAGAGATTTTGATTTAAAATAATAAAGTCTCACATTAGACCTTAGATACATTAGATCATGCAGCAGTATGTTTGGGAAACTAGTTAGGAGAGATTAGCAAAGGGGGTAGAAAGAATAAAGTGGATGGAAGGACTGACGGAGTTTATTAATTATGTACTTATGGAGTGAGAAGGCAAAAAGCTGAGGAAATACCTCTCTGAAGTAGAGAGCTTCATGTTCTTAGAATAAAAGGGGGTAGGGATTGGGTAGGTTAAGGAACTGGACCAGTGAGGAAGGGGGTTGGAGTTGAGTGAGAGAGTGCTTCCCAGGATGTTGGAGAAAGACTGCCAGGCAGTATTCATGATTCAATGGAAATTGGAAATAGTTCATAGCAAGAAGCTATTTCATTCAGTTTGAGCACATTGAGTTTAAGCATAGAATTGGCAAAAGCATATATTGAATTAATTTTGTGTAATGGTTTTGTTAGGTATAGATGATGGAAGGGCATATGGAAGGGGAGGAGAAGTATTGCTAACAGAGGTTTTGTTGTTGTTGTTTTGTGGTACCCAAGATTGAGCCCAGGAGCTTGTTCATGCTAGGCAAGCATTCTACCACTGTGCTAGGGCCTCAGCCTGCAAAGAGTTTTTGAAGTAGTACATCATAGTGTGTAGGCAGAATAGGACAGGTCTGATAAACTGGAATAAAAAGAAGGGAATCAAAAAGAGATAGGAGACGATAGAAAGTAACATGTTTGAATTTAATATTTCAAATATGGAACAATTTGAGATTATTACAAGTCTGAGCAATAGTCATTGTATAAGGTGCTGAATTGGAAGTCAAAGCCATCGTTGTTGATGAAGTCAAAGAGCTGAGGGACTAGGGTATAAGATTGGCTGTACATATACACAGTGAAGTTGCATGGGAAGATGGCAGGCCTTGGAGCAATGAGGAAGTGGATCTCTTTACCAGTCTTCAGTGTTGAGGGCAGTAGGCAACAATGAAAAGGAGGGATAGTAAATGACATGAGCCACAGACAAGAGAATATAGGAGTAACTGTCACAAGCCAGCACTGGAGGTATGAGGGATATTGTAAGAGTAAACTGGAGGGTGTCTGAGGAAACTTCAGGAAAGAACGTGGTTTCAATTATAGCATGAAAGAGGACCTAGCATTTTTTGGAATTAAGGCTACAGGGAAGCTTATCACAAAAATGTTCTTCTATGACCAGGACCCTTCCTTCAGCCTTTTAGTACATTCTTATGTATCTTAAAATCTTAGCTCACATCTCTTCTTTGGAAAGCCTTCTCTGTTGAATTTTTCACAGTATATTTTGTTTAATTTTATTTTAAATTTTGAGTACCTTAAGACAATACATCTTGATTCTTTATTCTATCACCCATCACAGCACTGAACACATAGTAGGAGCTTAGTGTTTGTAGAATTGGATTTAAGAAGGTAGGTTGTTAAATTTTTAAGGACTTAAAAAACTAATGCCAAAAGTAAAAAGTAGAATTCAGTTGTTTTTAAATGAGCATGAAATCAGCTGTCCCATCACTTGTGTTCAGCAGTTAGACACCTTAGATGACACTCACATGAGACATTTTGTAGTTTTTATTTACTTTTAAAAGTAACTATTCTATATCAAAGAACATGAACACTGGGATAATCTCCCCAGTTGTCCCTTATAGATTATGAAAATGGTGCGGGGGAGAAGAAAGTAACCCATTTGAATGTGGACTGCTTTTCAAGTTATTTTTTTAAATCTTTAGGTTGATTGCTTCATTATTTGAATGTATCATACTGAGAGCAGCTCTTTGGTGAGGACAAGTATTACATAATTGTTATAGTGTAAGAAGTGATTTGATAAGCTAGTACTACAAGGAGAGATTTTGGTCATGACATTTAAGAGATACCTCATTTACTAGTGTAATCTTTATTTTCTGTAAGTGTATGCATCATACATCTTTATGTTTATTTCATCTTTTAGAATGACCAGGTTCTTCAGGGCTTCTCAGTGGACAAAGGAGAATTCACCTGCCCCCTCTGTAGGCAGTTTGCTAACAGTGTTCTTCCTTGTTATCCTGGAAGCAATGTGGAAAATAACCTTTGGCAACGTCCTAGTAACAGAAGCATACAAGATCTCATAAAGGAAGTGGAGGAGCTGCAGGGACGGCCGGGAGCTTTCCCAGTAAGCATCAGTGTAAGGCAGAAATATCCTGATTAACTTAGCTTTGCTTTTCAGCTTTCATTTTTTTTTTCAGTTTCTAAATTACTCTAAACTTTTGTGCATGTAGTAGAAATTGATTTTAGTGGCTTCATCTTCTCTTCTTTTCTTACTAAAAACAAAAATGAAAATTGTAAATAATTAGTATCAAAGGTTATATATACTTTTCCTTAGTCCAAATCATTGTAATTTTAATGTAATATCTTCCAGATCATGAACTCCTATAAGTTTAAATATGGTTAGGCTTTTAAAAAATGTTGAAATATTTAAAAACAAAACAGGGCTGGCAGAATGGCTCAAGTAGAGTACCTGCCTAACAAGCATGAAGCTCTGAGTTCAAACTCCACTACCACCAACAAAGCAAAAAAAAAAAACAAAGCAAGACATACAAACCATATACAGACATATATTGCTTAGTAATAGGGGATGCATTCTAAAAACTGTGTCATTAGGTGATTTTTGCTGCCACATAAACATAACAGAATATATTTACACAATCTAAAATGGCTGTGATGTCACTAGGCAGTATAATCTTATGGGACTGTCATTGTATATATGGCCTGTCACTGTCTGAGGTGTCATTATTTGACACATGACTAGATAGGTAGTGTGAGTGAGTAATGTAAAACACAACGTAACCATTTAAAAAATTTCCTATTTGTTGTATTAAGACTAAGAAGATATATTTACATACATGCACACATTTATGTATTTACTATGTGTGTATACTGGAGAAAATATTGTATGATCATTTACCACCAGTCAGTCTGCTGTGGGGTTTGGTATAAGTAAACCCATCTTTTATCTCATCTGGTAGGATTTATTTGGTTTAAATTCTTAAACGAATTTTTCTTCATTATAGATTTATGATATGGTCTGTAAGAGAAGTGGCAACTATGCATGCTTTATGATGTAAATTTATGAATATGTCAATAATTGACTTTTGAAACAGAAATTCATATATTAAACCAATTCAGAAAGATTCATCTCTTGGCAATTTGCTTTCTCAAGTGAAACTAATTTTAGAATCTGTGATATATTTTTCTTTTATAAATCCAAATTTTCATGTGCTTGAAGTAAGAGATATTGGTAATATTTTTTTGAAAATATCTGACAATAATATCTGAACTTAAATGAAAGTTTTCTTTAAAAAATAAAAATGGAAACTTTGTTCTAAAGTATTATTTTAATGTCATCCTATTCATTAATTCATAGTTGGATTATAGTTTTATCAATCATAATATAGAATTAGAAAGATTATAACAGAAAGTAGTTTTTGACTGGTGTTATGTTTGTGCACTAAATATATTTATATTGGATCTATTTTGATTTTTATCAACAAATTTCCTAATATATTCCTTAACAAACTTTGTAGTTTTAGGACGTTATTAAAGAAAATGAATATAAACTTTCTACGTTTGTTTGCACTTTTTATAGTCAGAAACCAACTTAAGTAAAGAAATGGAATCTGTAATGAAAGATATAAAAAATACCACTCAGAAGAAATACAGAGACTATAGCAAAACCCCAGGCTCCCCAGACAATGATTTTCTCTTTATGTACTCTGTTGCAAGGTAGGTATATACAGTGTATATTTTTGTGTTCACTTACTATTAATTGTTCACTTTATTGTTTTGTGAATCTTTTAAAATTTATTAACATTTATATTTACTTAAAGGGAGTATAATTTTAGTATTGGTTGAGAAATATGGTTAGTTTTCCTCCTCCCAGGAGGAGTATGAATATGTACTTTTCTTTTATTTCCTGAAGAGTTTTTAAATTTTTTATTTTAATGGACTATTCAAATAGGTGTTATTAAGCATTACAGGACATTTGTAGAAAAGTATATTATTCATATTTTGGGACAGATACATGTGAGCATTTTATATGATGAAGTCTTGTCAAAAACTGGCCATACTGAGAACCAAAACATTGTAATATGTTAAACACTTTTAATTTATGGCAAAACAAGAATAGTAAGAAGTAGAACTTTGTTTGCATTAACCTAGTGAAAGATCTAGTAATATTCTAGAAAATGGCAGGTAGTTAAGGAAACCAGATAAAGAAGAGGAAGCAAGAGATCAGGTTGTTCTAAACCTCTGTTTATAGTGAGTAGGAGGCTCAAGAGAAGATAGAACTGTTTCTCATCTTTCAGGTTAGGAAGGATTAGTCTCATTTACTGAGTAGGTATTTAGCACCTAAGTAATAGATTGATAGAAATTTTAGAGAATAATTGACTGAAAATGGAGAGCCATAAAAGATGTAAATAGGGGAAGCCGACACATGATAGTGTAGACCCCTGGATGGATACCTTTGGAAGGGAACTCCCTGTATGCAGCTACTTAGGCAGAGGATGATTAGAAGTCAGATCTCTTGAGTCAAGATTTAGTGTTTTTTCAATTACTATATATATATTTTAACCTTTCTTGTGTTCAGGTTGTGTTAGGCATGCAGTGTACCATGACCATTCTCTGTGCCCACTCCTGGAGCAGAATATAACAAAAAGAGTATGTAGCCTTTAGAACCCAAGAAAAATGGAAACAGACTTAGAAAAATTGCCAACAAGCAAGTTAGAGCTCAAGGAATGAAGCACATTAGTCTTTGGTCTGAAAGTGCAAATCCTGGACAAGGGTTGATATAATAGGATCTAATATTAAAAAGCAGCTTTTTAGTCTGCATAGTCCTATATTAGGCTATTATTGTTTATTCAAAATGCTTTATTTCTATATCATTATCAATTATTGCACATGCGTAATTACACTTGGATGAAAACTAAATTGAATATAATTAAATTTCACTAAAACTCCAGGATTGTACAAAGCTTCTGTTCAATATTATAATCATAGCCTTGTAGAAAACTTGGTTGAATGTAGACCAACTTAGTTATGCAACACACACATATTTATGTCACTCATGCATTTATGACTTTGATTTTATTAGAGTTGGCTCTACAAGAAAATTTCTGATCAAAAGGAAATGATCTATACATGGAATTTTCCTATAGTATGATAAATCAAACTGTTTAAATATATTTTAGTTACAATTTTAGACCCCTCTTTCTGGTTTTAAATATATAAATAACACATGAAGTAAAGGTGGTGATAATGAGGGACACATTTTGTTTGCTGTAGTTCATAAAAAAGCAGAGACAGGTGTCAAAGGCTTTAGTAAAAGTATAAGTAGAAAAACAGGAAAAATATACTGCCCTTCTGATTCTTCTTTGATCCCTAATGATAAACTCTAAAGCCATAAGACAATGATTCTGAAAATGTAAGAATATAACATTTAAAAGACTTGTCCTTTGATTGGAATTATTTGTGATAATTGCAAAATTCTCACAGTGAGATTACAATGCCCTAAATTTTACTTAGTTATTACAAAGAAAACAAAGAACAAATTGACTCAACAATTAAAACATGAAGGAAAAAAGTATGGTTTAGCCTATTTAAATAGATACATTTTTCTCATGATAGAGTGCTTAATCTATCTTGTATCTAACAAGTAACTAATATAATAAATCCTTATGGTTTTAGAAATACTTATTTCTAAAAGTTAGACATTAAAATATTTAGCAGTGTTTAAATATTTAGCAATAATCTTACCTTGAATTATTTAAGTTTTAAGTTAAATGTATAATCTAGTAGAATCTGAAGATTTATTTATATATGGCATTGGTAATTTGAATAGAATACTAGTTTTTTCAGAACTGAATTTTTCACAGCTGAAAAAATAATTTCATTTGCTCTTCATGGAGCTTAAAGTTTTGATGGTTAGAAAGACATAATTTCTGGCAAAGGTGTTTCTTTAATAACTGCTTGAGAGCTTTTTTTTTTCTTTGAAAGACAGTTTCTCTGACTCTGTCTCTCTCTGGTGGTGCTGGGGATTCAACTCAGGGCCTTGCACATGCAAGGCTACCACTGAACTGCACCCTTAGCCCCTGGAATATCTTTTTAAAATTAAATAATGTAAAAATTAATCAAGATCACCTTATTCAAGTTTTAATGTATTTCCAAAATTTCCATTCGGTTACAAATATTAGTCTTTCAGATGGATTATGGAAAGTTGGTTCTGGGGAAGAAAGCTTTCCTTACTTCAATACCATTTCATAATTGAAAGAACAAATGACATGAATTTTAGTAATTGAAATTTCCAAGGATTTTTGGACCTAAGTAATAGTCTAGAGACACTGGTGAGTAGCACTGGACCTGTATATTGTAAGAAAAATGGAAATGGAACAAAGATGAAATAGAAATATCTAAGATGTAGGTGGACAGACAAGTTTAAATGATGAGTAGGTAAAGTACTCAGGATGAATTCACTTAGTTTTATTGTAAATCTAAACTTTGTAAACTAATTATGTTCAAAATAAAAGGAATGCTTGCTAAAATGCCAAATTATGAAATTTTTTTTCTTTCTTTCCTTTTTTTGAGATGGAATCTTGCTTTGCTGCCCAGGCTGGTCTCAAATGTGTATACTTAAATAATCCGTCCTCTTCAGTCTCCTGAGTAGGTAGGACTGCAGACAGGAGCCACTATGCCTGAATCAAATCATGAATTTTTTTAAATAAAAAAAAATTCCTGTCCCCCAATTTTTCCCTTTTTTTTTTTTTTCACTGCTCCATTTAAGAAATATAAGGGTCAGCAAAAGAAGATAATAAATTACAGGGACTAAAGAGAATCTCATAATTGGTTGATATCAGAATGAAGTTGTCAGTTCCAGGAACTTTTTTTTTTTTAAACATGTTCATAGGAACTTTTGGGAATTTAGAAGCTGTGTAACTTCTAAATTACTTGTCACTGTTTTCCAGGAATTTAAAATTTAGTCGGAGAACCAAAACTAATAAACTCTTTATATACAGCAGAATATAATGTGTTTTTTAAAATGTCACTTAGATAAAGTGCTGTAAAACTTCAAAAAGGAACATAAGTAAATTGATATGTAAAGTGTGTGGAAATACTTCTTTCCTGCCTGGAGAAGGTTTTCTGGAAGAGCTGTAACTTAAGTTGCATCTTTTATATGATATCGACTGTGCTGTGGATGTGTTTCCCTGCCCCCCAGAGAAACTTGAGTAAATTGCACAGCCATTAAAATGTAGGTTCAGGCTTTGAAACCAGATCTTTTTCTAGAGCTTTGGCCCTTTCTACGATGCTGATATGATTTTGAGTGTCTGTGTTGTGAATTTATGTATGTGTGGTGTAAGTATGCACACATTTATACACGAAAAATAACTAGTGCCTAACTTGTAGAGGGCAGACTTTGGTTATGCAAAAGCAGTTGGAGGGCAGTCAGAGCAGTTTTTGTGTATCCACATACACCTCTATCTAGGTGACTTAAGTATGATAGACTTTCAGCAGTCTTTTCTTATCATTCTTTCAAATGCAGAGATTTTCTCCCAAGTGAATTTGAATATATTTATGTTAGAAAATATAAAAAATAGAATTTGCTTTTTTCCAAGAACAAGAAGCACAGAAACTTTTACTCCTTGCCTGTCTTTACTTTTGCATCGTCAATTTGGGGAGGCAGAAACAAAGTATTGTGATTTTCAGCCTTGAGGGGTGATAGCTATCCAGCACATGACCCATTTGTGTGTTTTTTACTCTCACAAATCTTAAAGGGCCAATTTTGGAGTAAATGGAGCAAGGAAAAATTGATGGTTAGGGCCTCTGACATTGATTTTTTTAGATCCTAGATATTATTACATATTAACCTTTTGGTTAGGTCGTTTTTGGTTTTTAACAGAGAAGAAATGTTGTACAGAAGATCTTCCAATCATAATCTGAAATAATAAATTGAATTTAATAGTTTGATTTCAAGTATCCTTTAAAATGAATTCCTAGCACACGCTTGTCATCTTTAAAGTCATGTTTGGTGATTTAGTAAACAGAATTATTCTTATATTTTAGTGAATATTTTTGCAAATATGGTGCAATAAAAGTAGTCATTCTGGTTCTGACGTATGGTTTGTAAGAATTGTTCATGTTTTTGGTTAGCACTTTTAAAAGCACTATCTTAGGAAACCTTAGTTTTATGAGAGAATATAGCCATTAATTTTTTTCTACAGATTAGGCAACAGAAGATTTGTGAAAACAAAATGTATTGATCTCATTTATATTCCCTTGGTGAAGGAACACATGCTGGTCTCCGCTCGCTTTCTGTCCACTAATATGAAATCCTTGTCCCTGCTTCCTTGCTGGTAGGTTTTTAGAGGTTCAGTGAGCAGTGCAAATTGCCAGAAGGGTGGAAAATTCCCTTGTCACACAGATGCCCTTATCAGCAGCAACCAGATGGAGTTCTGAGCAGGAACATTATCAATGTTAAATTGCTTTCCACCCCCCTGAGAAGAGAGGATTAAAACATTCCTTAGAAATGGGTGGCAAATGTACAGACTTAAAAATATTAATATTTTTAACAATTTGCTCTTATAAGAAATATACAAAAATAGCATTTTAAAAACATTTCATGTTCAAAGCCAGTTTAAAATGTTTTGTTTTAAATAAAATAGGATATATAGTCTTTCTTGAATTTGCTTACAAAGAGTAATCTTAAAATGTTGCTTTTTTTTAGGGGGGGAAGATACCTCACTATTAGTGTCAAATCTTGATATAAACTAGTTAATATGACATATCTTGGATATAAACTAGTTAATTCAGTTTCAGGTGTGAAAAATAAAGGTATATTTAAGTTGATAAATACTTTTAAGTATAACACAATTTAAATTGTAAGCCAGTTTTATTTACTATTTTGGCATAATTGTTATTTTGTTACTATTTTTTAGTAAACATTTAGATTCTGCTTAAATTTGCTTTTTGAAATGTCAGTTTACTAATTATTACTATTCTGTAAGTTAATAATTAATACCTTGCAATTTCAGATCTTTGTGAATAGTATTGATTTTTAGCAGTGTATTTTAATAAAACTGTAATTGTAGAAGTCCCTAAAAGAGATCTGCTATTATATGAATTGTTCATAATACTTTGATATTTGTTTTTTTGTTTCTTAATATTGATTTTCAGATACTATCTTAGCTCCAATGAGTGATAACCATTTCTCTAGTAGAAAAATTGGTATGCCCTTGTGCTTTTTATGACTTACCCAATGGCCGACAGATGGAGTACAGATTCTTTCATCAGATTCATGTGCAGATTCATGTTTATGAAATATGCTACAGGGCTTTATTTCCCTTAAGGCCTAGTTTGTAGTATTTACCAGCAGTTGGGACTTTGCAACAATTATATGATGAACATACAAATTTTTATGTGAACATATAAGTAAGGGTGGATAAATTGTACCCTTTTTATTTCTCAATATCAGATAAAATATGATTACTGGTACTGCATCATTTGTGCTTTTGCAAATAATAAAGTAGCAGAACTTTTTCACTTAGGTTGATTCAGACATATCACTAGAGCAAATTAAAAAGAATCTCTTCAGCCTAATAACTGTAATATGTTTTAATGCTTTACTTATAGAACTAACTTAGAACTTGAATTGATTCACCGAGGAGGCAATTTGTGTTCAGGTGGTGCAAGTACAGCTGGCAAAAGGTCTTGTTTGAGTAAGTATTAAACAGTGTTAAATTTTAGAAAATTTTTATTTATGTCTTTAATGTCATTTTTTAAAGCATATATGGGAAAGTGGCCTTTTCAAATTCTGTCTGTTATATGATAAATTTTGATAGTAATATATATTTTAAATGGCTAATCTTATACTTAGAAGAATCATGAATATTTAGTTCTTTCTGTACTGATTGCTCAGTATATAAACACCATGCTAATTGATCAGATTTGTTAGTTCAAAAATTTCAAAGTATGTTATTCTTAGGTATAAAAACTTGTACTCAATTTTTTAAAGGAATTTTTATACTGAGTTGATGTAAGAAAAATCTTTTTATAAAGAAAACTTATATTGCCTACAGATTCCTATTATATTGTTGCTATTAATTAATGAAGATTTTTGTGTTATAGTTTAATAAGTGTATTAAAATTGAGGTGCTTGCCTTTAAGTGCAATAAAGTAAGTATGATTCTTCAACATTGTCTGTAGAAGTAGTTAGAGAAGTGTAATTTGGAACTTACAGTCGTTTTTTCATGAGCTTAGATTTTCATGCTATTGTATCATTCATTAATCATTGTTTAGAGAATTAATGTGAATACTAGAAGTAATCTTATTTAATATTGCAGTATAGTTAATTATTGGCCCCAGTTCACTGGAGTTGAAGTGTACTGCCTAATGTGATTGCTATAGGAAATAAAACTTGTTTAAAATACATAATACATTCTTTTGAAGAATGGTTAGAAAATGCTAAAAATGATAATTATTCAAAATTATCCATACATACTGGCTTTTAAACTGTATATACATGTACACTATATATATATTAAATATATATACTATATATATATATATATATATATATATATATATATACACACATATACATATATATAGTATTTCAAAAAGATGTCTATTTGGATTGATTTTAAAGCAAAGGAGTAATTAAAAGTACCTTAAAATTTCTAATATAAAGATGCAAGTGTGAAATTTTAACTATTTTTGTACCTATTTAAAAGTCTTATTGCTTATAATAAATTTTGAGATTTTATTTTGGACTACCACTTGATTCCTAGAGTTTAAGGCTGTGGAAGGTTTTTCTTTTAAGTGTCCACCTAAACTCTGTTTGTGCTCTGTGCTTTAGTAATGTATTTTAAAGGAGAGGGTGCTGACATAAAGGAATGTTAGTTTCTCATCTGTTTGAGTTAGTAGACATTATCATTCTAACTACATAAGTTATTTTTCTTATTTATTCTTTTTTTTTTTTTTATTGTAAGTTTCCTGAGCTTCTGTTTTTTTTTTTTTTTTTTT